AGTATATTTCCATACCCAACTGACACCGGGCTTGCTTTTCTTTTTTTGTATTATATTTTTGTTTGAATTTGTTTTTATAAGAATTTCACGAGAAGGGAAGTAAGATGTAATAGGCAAAGTTCTATCTGTACTATCCTCTTCATCAGCACAATTATCATCTTCATCATAAGTATCATTTTCATTACCAATATCATTTTCGTCATAATTTTCATTATTAACAAAATTTTCATCAAAATTATAGAGTCTTTCATACTCAAATGACATATTGTCTTTACTAGTAATATTATCGGACGATTAATCATTATCTATCTTTAAAGAACAGATTATACAAAAATTGATATAAATTAGTTTTTGATTATATGTAAGAGTATCAATACAAATTTCAATATATTATATACTTTTTTTTATATATGTTTATATTAATGCAGAATTACTATAGTATAATATTTACTAGCGCAGGTTTCTTTATCAAAGGCATAGGCATGCAAAAATTTTCACATACTCTGAACTACATTTTAGATTATCATGAGAATGCTATATACGGGTTTAGCATTAGATATCTGATATTCAAACTTGGCATACATGAATTTGGCTGTTGTTTCTGCTTTTGAATTCATTCAAACTCGACAGCAACAACCTTCAAATTCTGGAAACTTTTAGTACAAGGAATTATTTTAATGATTTTATGTTTCATCACTCAAAAAATACTATTAACAAACAATGGGGAGAAACTAAGGTATTAATTATAACCAGAATATCTGGTATATTTCAAAATATTTTATTTTATTGTTGAAATTAGTGTTGTCAATCAGACTAAATTGATGTATTTTCAATTAGAATTTGACATAAACCCAATTAAAATTGGCATTGTGTCCAATTTCAATTGAAAATATATCTATTTAGTTCGATTAACAATGCTAGCTGAAGTTTATATTCTTTATTGCATTAAATTATCGCTATAACAAGTGTTCACTAAATAGAATTGTATAGATCGTGGTATAAATGAGTTCTTTCAATTATTATAAATAGCGAGTCGCATAAGAGTTTCACATTAAAAAAAAAAAAAAAAAAAATTCATTGTATGAAAATTTTATTTCTGAATGTTATTTATACTATTGCATATGTTGTTGTGTATTTTGTGATTTACATGTAATCATTCCCCAGGCCAGCTTGCATAATTTTTTGCCAATTGGTAGAAAATTATTACTAATTTATTTTCACTGCTTGTAAGTATCACGTATACATAAACAATAATTCTTAAGATGAAGATAAGTATTATTAAAATTTTACCCAGGCATGCTGCGATATTAAACTGCACTATATAATTTGTATGCGATCACACTAATAACTCCCTTGATTAAGAAATGTATATGCATGTATATTAAACATTAAGATTTGTTACATAATTGAGTGTTGCAAAAATTTGAACTTACAAATGTGTTTATACTATATATTGATATTGATTATATGTAAGTTATGTGAATAGTTCACCTAATTGAATGTCTTATTAGATATTAAAGGCAGTTATGTTAGACACATACTAAAAAAGGATTTTATATCTTGGCTATTTTAATTAGTCATTATGATTTTTAATATAACCTAATATTAAATCAGCTTAGTCGATTTTATGAAAAATTGACTGACCAAGCCAGCTAAGTCGATAAAATTGACTAACACAAAATCAATTACAAACACTAAAACTAAACCAAAATTAGATTTATTTGAACCCAAAATTAGACAAAACCTGGTTCAAAAACTAAAATAAACCAAAATTAGGTTT